CCCCCCCCTCCGTAACCTATTTGTTTTTAACTCTCAAAACCTATTTGTTTTTATTTCCCTTTGCTTTAGCATATTTTTCTTTTTACGAAGATTATAGGCAAGTTTTTGGACAAGATAACCTTCCTTGATGGTAATGTTCAACTTAATCAAATATTAAAATAGCAATTGTGTGACATTCACTTAGCCAGATAAATTTGCTCCAAAAAAAAAAAAAAACTTTGCTAAATAAAAACTATAATTTTTTTAGCTACACATAAATAATATTTAACGCTCAAAGTCAAAACACTTCATAAATATCTGCTAATGTAAATGTAAATTGAACAGTACACTTCTATGCGCAGTCAATCTTCAGTGGTAACAAAAATCTTAGAAAACTTTCCTTCTGTTGTCCTTTCTCTACACTTTAGCAATTCAAATACAGAAAAAAAAAAAAAAAAAACTAAGTACATTACTAATGTTTAACAACTTTATTTCTTTATCAGTTATACCGTATTAACTACTTTCTTCTTCTTTTTTCTTTTTTTTTGTTTTTGTCTTTCACTCATACAATTATTGGAATTTGAACTTAAGCATATAATTTAATTCATATAAAGTAAAATAATAAATAAAATAAGAGTAAAAGAAATAAGCATAAACAATCAACAGACCTGTGGAAGTTTTTCTGTAACCGGCCAACTGGTAGTCTTCTTTTCATCCGTAACAACGTTGTTTTTGATCACCTCAAATCGTGGATCTGCACAACCAGCAGTTGTTAAGCAACCTTGTTTCCATTCAATATTCAATAATTCCAATGTTATCCAGTACGGTGAATGTGTCTCTTCAACACAAGAGACTTTCGGAATCAGAAGCAATAGTGATGGTAAAAAAATTTTTGCTGTTGAATTTAACGATAACAGTAACAGGAAAAGCAGCGATGACGACGACAACGACGACGATAACGGTGTTGAAGATGAACGAGATTTAGTTGGTAATAATATCGTCGTAGACAACGTTGACGGCATTCTAATCCAGCGAAAAAATGCTGAAATTAATGAATCAGATTCAGCTGCAACGCATAGGAATCCTGTAGTCCTGAAGCGTATTGCGTGGCTTGTTTAAACTCATGTAGTAACAGGTTTCAACATGTTTCGGAAGTGCCTTCGATTATACCGTCCTGAAACAGAGACCAATGAATGCATACAGTAGCCTATGTGGAATAGCACTACGACGACGTTAACCTTCATTAAACAGATAAACGGATAGAGATCAACAAATATCAAAGTAAAAACGACTGCTAACTTGTAAGAGCATAGAAAAATCAAATAAAATTTGGGAATTTTCAAAAATCTGGAAATAAATTTAAAAAAGACATCCAGAAATCGTCTGAAAAACCTCACTAATCTTCTACAGCGTAAACAAATTAAACAAAACCGAAGATTCTATAAGGTCTAAAAGAAACCAAGTTTTTTTTTTCAACCAATTAGTCTAGAAAGCTTATAAACAAGACACAATTGTTCTTCACCGTTGCCTCTTCCTTCCAGGGTTTAGCATTTTTTGGTTTCTGTCTTAAAAGGTTGTTCTTTGAACTTTTATTAAAGGCAAATTAAAACAAGTTTTATCTCTTCCTTCTATTCATACTGTCCTTTGTTTTTGTTTTTGTTGTTTTTGTTGTTTGATTCGAAAAAAAAAAAAGAAAAAAAACTGAACCTTAATTAGAAAACCGATGAATTGATGCGCAGTTAACGAAACAAAAAACAAAAATGAAAGAGCATCAAATATACTAAACGTCAATAGCAGCAAAATTTACCGTTGGCAGACTTTGATAAAGCAATTTTGAATATTAATTAACCTTTTTTTTATATCTCTCTGTTTTTCCATCTTCAATTTTTTTTCTTTTTTTGACTTTTTCAACATATTCTATGTGTTTGGTTGTTGCC